CAACTATAAATCACATCCTATACATGTGTATGAGTCAATGAGACAGTCAAGCTTCTTAGATTGAAGTAGGTGACGAGGGGTTAGAACCTACAATATACTGTTAGAAAACCAAGTGATTTAATAGCTGCTCTGTTCGCAAAACCAAACAGTTGTAAGCGTTTTCCCCTAATCCTCGTGTACTTTATAAAATATACGAACGCTTTCAGTGACAATGATTGATTAGGTTTTTCAAGTCAAACGAGAACCATGGTATGCTTTTAACTTCTACAATGTAAAATACATTGTCATGATCCCATAATGCTATTTATAAAACAAATAATTGCAGTTACATGCTAGTATGAAGTGTTTAAACATAATGAACCAAAACAGTTACAATCATATACTTAGACTCTTCATTTGATTATCTATTGATTTTAATTTTAGCTAAGATATGAGAAATTTCAAGAATGCCAAAAACCCAATATGCGTTACCGTTTTTTGACAATTGAACATGCAAAATATAAGCGAAAACAGGAAATTGTTTTTAATGACGAGAAAAGGACAAAATGTAAGCGTAGGTGGTTTACTATTATAACAAAATCTACTTGGACTGGTGCCAATTAAACCACATATATATATATATATATATTTATAGGAGACCATGAGTGATTCACGTGGTTTTGTAGACATTACAATTGAAAAAAAAACAAACAAACAAACTTATAAACAATGTAACGTGGGTGGGAAAGAGAACGTGAAATTATTATCACAAAAATGAAGCAACAAGTTAATTCAATGAAATCAAATGAGAAAATCTACACTTCAATTTCATGAATCAATTAAATGTCAGTTTTTTTTTTGTATTTCTTTAAGAATAGTGAGTGTTATGACGTTATAATAAGTGTCAAATTTATGACTGTGGATATTCTTGTATGAATGAATCATAGTTTTAATTTTGGTAACCATGACATTTTTCAAGGAATTTTTTTTTGCTGATTCAATCAGTTTATTGATAGGAGTAATAAGCATGGCACTATTCTTTTAAATAAATAAATTGTTTAAATGATCTCTTGAAATAAATGGAATAGTCTTCTGACTAAAACTGAAAGAAGTTAAAAAAAAAAGCTACACCGAACTGAATTGTAAAGTTACCATTTTTGAACAGAAATTTAAAATTATCACTGATTATCATTTTTCATCGAAGTGTTTATTGAATAAACAACTTTAAGAGATTAATAAGATACTAGTTAAATAAATATAAGCATATTTTTTTAAGACAATAATTACACATATTTTTTAAAAACACTTTTAAGTCTGAATATGTATATAAATAGTCCTAATGAATGAGCTAGGCTTGTCGCTACCAATCAATACAAATGAGATGATTTTTAGTTTTATGAGTGGAGATAGTGTCTACCATTGATTGAACTGCTTGTTATTTAGAGGCGATATTGAGGCGATTCGGCAGATTGCAAAAATACATGCCTAGAGATTTCACGAATACAGTGCTAAAGATCAGTGGTGAAATTCAAACAACCAATAAATATGGATTTCTAGTTTGTTTGAATGACAAGAAATTGAAACCTTACTCTACCAACGTCCATTTATGATTTTTAAATTGTCTTGATTTCACATTCGCATCATTGTTGAATGTGATCGATTGGTGTCGTTGTGAGTGTAAGTTCTTGTTCTTCGAAATTCTTCTATATTTCCCACTTTTCATACACCTCTAATAGACAATGTACCTCCATGCTTAACGCCAGCCTACGTTAAAGTCTATGTGGACTTTGCTTTCGTGTATAAGTTGATAGGTAATTCTTTAATATTTTATAAATCTACACTATCTTAAAGATATTTTGATTATTCAACCATTAATATGCAAGTTTCATCTATATATATATATATATATATATATATATATATATATATATATATATATGCTGTAATATTCGCTTGCTAGTTGCTTGTAAAAATGTACAAGGAACAGTTAGATTCGACAATTGATAACTACCAACTGAAACCACAAAACTCTCAGTATTTTCATTTAAAACACTGCATAAACCCCAAATTTGTTATTCCTACCGTTTGTTAGCGATAGCAGATGAATGTGATCTACACGAAACTTCGTTACTATTTTCTGTACGTTTGATTATGAAGACGTTATCATCTGGAGGGAAGCACGGTATTCAGTGGACAGTTAGGACGCAGCTGGACGATCTGGGCTTCGCAGATGACCTGGCTCTTCTATCTCACACGCAACAACAAATGCAAGAGAAGACGACCAGTGTAGCTGCAGCCTCTGCAGCAGTAGGTCTCAACATACATAAAGGTAAAAGTAGCATTCTACGATTCAACACATAACATTGTCATGTCATTCTCAACTGAAAAAATGAGTCAATTTTAAACCGATATTTTCATTTGAAACTAGTTTTAAGTAGATGAGGTTGTTCAGAGCATAAAAAATCAATGATCAAGATAAATTTCAACTATTTTAATAGAGCTTTCGTAATAAAGCACATTAGGAGCCTGATACATTAAATAGTGAATGCATATCATCTGGTCATTTTAAAGAACGTTTGATTGTCTTGATAACGATACACAACATTGTGTAAATTACTGCATTTAAGCAGTCTAGCGATGAGGTGATCATGATAATGATACTTTGGAGATGCGTTCAAATGATAGTGACTACTTAACAGAAGGGTGGTTTGGTTTCAGTAGATGCTTCAATAACTATTACATAAGGTCTCTACTTCAAATAACCACATAGAAGTGATCATTAGTTAAAGTTTTAAAAGCTTTAACTAAATGAAACTCACCATGAATAGACCAATAACTTATAGTCTACAATCAGTAACATACATGTCGAATAACAAAGCTAACAACGAGAACCAAATCACTTAATCATATCCTAGACATCCGACCCCCGACCATAGCTGCTACCTTGACGTGGTGGTCGGGCTTGCCTATCGTGATCACCCAACCGAGCTATATTGGATGGAACATATGTTCCTGAAAGTTCTACCATGCCAGGCAGGTCGATTGGAGAGCGATGAGACTAAAAGCAGCTACTCAAGGTCTGAGGGCGAAGTCGTACTGCTGACTGCAGAGGGGTGTGACAGCAGTAAGGTGTTTCCCTCAGACAACCAGCATCTACAGCAATGCTGCCTTCCCACAAGGAAGGAAGTGTTAGAAAAGGTCGACCCTGAAAATGTTACACCTCACCCTACCCCATGGATTTCCGTCTCCGTCGGTAAGGGTGCCCACTAAGAGCTTTCAAGAGCGGAGCTAACACTCAAAAGACCTTTCATAAAACGGCCGTGCGTGACCGGCCTCAAGCAGTTTTCCGTTAGACTCTGCGGTCACGCTCCCAGGTCTCTAAGACTAACACTAATCTATCTTCCTTTTCAGGTCCCTGAAGAAACAACCTTACACGGTGTGGGCAGCCGTGAATTGACAACCTCCCTCATACCCGTAACCCTCTGATTGACTGAGATTGCCAACCTCTCCATTCATGAAAGTCTTAAAAATTTTATTTGATCTTATATTACAATAATGATAATGATGATGATTTAGGTTTTTGACTACAAGATTGAATTCTCACATATCTATCCACATGATTATGGAATTATTTGTATGGACGGACATGCAAATTTCTTTTCGACAATGAAAATCATGAACATATTCTGTCAGTATTTTACAGGCATTCAATAGACATGTACCATTTTTCTAAATTGTTTCATGTAAATGTTATCTCAACTCCTCACAAAATGATTAATTTTCTGACTACAACATCAAATATTCTTCTTATTCTATTATTTTCTGTTCGATCTTGTAAGGTATTATGACAACAAATAGATGAATACTTTTTGGAATAAATGGAATATTCATAACGATACTATTGTGACAACTAACATAGACCTAACAACTTAACTATTATTGATAATTAAGACATTATGATTCGAACGTACACCTTATCCTAAATCAAATAGGATGAAAAGATGTTTGTAAGTCAATAACCATAAACACATACATTTGATCCCAGCATTTATTAACCATTTTAATATGAATAACACATTTTTACACGCATAACATTTGCCTACGACTTCATGAACCAACAATATTTTACTATAAGAATTACTTCACTCACTAACTGACTCATTCTATCTTAATTACATCAAACATTTTTACTGAGCATCACTAAGACCATACTTATGAATAACCGAGTGTTGTATGTACGTACTAAAAATATCATACAACACCAATGATCACATATCGAAAAACAAAATGCCGGAAATATCATATTTCTGCACTGTTTTTTTCTTAAAAAAATAAAATTGTAGTACCATACATATTATTTTTAGATAATTTTGAGTATCATTAAAGGCGATAGACTAAACAAACTAATTGAAAAACAACACCTCATCATATCATTTCTGACTTACACTAATTACCACACGTTTTGTAATATCTACACTTATTTCAATGCCAGAATATTCAAAGTTTCACATTGGAAAATACACAGTACATTTATTTTTTTGTTTTGTTTTGTATTTAATAATTACTTATGAAAAATAATTTCTATGAGAAATAATTTGCTTATAAAATATTAACAAATATACAAATTTAATTAGTTATGCATAATATACATATAAGATTGTAAAAAAAAAATATATATATATACTTTAAGTTCACTACATAAAAACTGATCTCTGTAAAGTAGATAAAGAAAGATGTGCTGCTCTTGAAGTTAAAATTTGTCTTATACTGATGATTCTGGTTGGTTGGTTGAAACAATCATGTAAAGTTATAAAAATGAAAATCAAAAGATTCCATATTCCAGTGATTTCCAATCACTTCCATTTTGTTAGGGGGTTTGTATTTTAAAAATACTATAGATATGAGTAACGTCAGTTTTCATGGTAACAATGTTACAAAAGGTTACTTGTTAAATTGAAAACGTTTTCTTTTTGTGAATAAGTAACAACGAATAATAATAATAATAATAATAACGACTGTGATTATTCATGAATAGTACATTCCTGAGTATTTAAATTAGTTAAAAGAGAACTGGCATATGGAGGAAGTATGACACTTTGATCATCATTAACAACATAAACATCTACAACAATAGGACTGCGACGACAAGCAGAAGAGCAAACATTACTGCCAGATAAACCAGTTCCACTACTAGTATATCTAACATTTGTACTACCACTATATGATGGATCATTAACAGCCATTGCACCAATCCCCGCACGCATATCTGGATCATAGATAAATCCAATATCAGCATTCGTGTGAGCTACAGCAGCCTTGGAACTCTGTGTTGGAGTAACTACCATAGAACTGAGTGTACGAGTTTGCCGGAAAAATGAACAACCAGTGGAACTTTGATTATTTGAAAATAGACGCGATAATTGTTTTGGTAGACCTCGTTGCCATCTTGGAGGCCGAGGTCGACCATTTGGTTTTGCGGTGTACAGTGGGGGTTCTCGAAAATCACCAAGTGCATAAAAGCACTCATTAGAATCATGTGACTTATGTTTAACTGTTTTTGAAGAACGACGCTGTGGTAAACCAGTAGATGGAAATGTTGAGGTAAGCTGTAAAGCAGCATTACAAAAGAGTGTTCCTTTTTTCCACATTACTCCATATCCAGCAAAATCGTGACCACACAGGTGTAACACAGGTCTGAAACAGAAAAAAAAGGTTAGCAAGATAGTAAACTCTACTTTCATAGTATAAGATACATAAACTGATAACTAAAATGTAACAAAAATACTCCAGCTAATTACAACACTAAACTCGAGGATAATGTACAATGGAAATTTGTAAACTATTCAAATAGTGCACGATTAATGTCGACATTTTTCACAGTGGTGTAGCTCTCCAGCTATCACATATAACGACGCTATTGTGCTGTCTAGTTAAAAACTTGATTTAATTAGTTGAAATTTTCTTCCATTAACAAGAGACAAATTGTTTCAGAAATAAGAGATAAGAGACTATTCAGCCACTCAATTAATTAATGTTGTATAACTTACAGAATCAATAACGTAGTATTACGTAATACCAGCTAACGATATATAATACTCAATAGTGCTTCTAGAAGTAGTGTATTATATTC